TCTCAGCCGCCATCTCCCTTCCAGCTGCCCTCAACAGTCCCCCAAGCTGGCCTCCCCAGGTTCTATCTGTTCTCCACCCAGCAGCCAGCGTGATCCTGCTGAGCCACAAGTCTGATCATACCACTCCTCTGCTTAAACTACCAGTGGCCTCTGTAGTGAGCTGAATTGTGTTCCCCCAAAAAGATATGTTCAAGTCCTAACCCTAGGCCCCTGTGAATGTTAACTGGCACCTGTTCCGAATGTTATTTGGAAATGGGGTCTTTGTAGATAGAACCAAGAAGCTCGAGATGCCATCATATTGAATTTAGTGTGGACCCTAAATCCAATGACTGGTGTCCTTAAGAAGAGACAATGGTGCACACAGCGAGAATACTGTGTGAAGACAGAGACAGACTGGAGTGGTGCAGCTACAAGCCAAGGTGCCTGGGGCCACCAGCAGCTGGAAGAGGCAAGGATCCTCCCCTCCAGCCTGTGGCGGGACCGTGGCTCTGCAGACACCTGGATTTTGGCCTTATGGCCTCTAGAACTGTAGAATATATTTCTGTTCTTTTAGGTCACTGGGTTTATAGTAATTGGTGGCCACAGCCCTAGGAAACTGATACAGTCTCTTACAATTAGAAAAGAACGTCAATTCCTTTCTGGGACACACTGCACCCCACAGGACTGCTCACCTCCATCCTCATTCACACATGACTTCTGTTGCCTGCCATGCACCAGCCACACGCACCTTCCTTTTTCTCCCATGCACCAGCCTTTAGCACATGCTGTTTCCACTGCCTAGAATCCATCCCTGATCTTTCCATGGCTAGGCTTCATCATCATTAGGTCCCAATGCATATACCCACTCCTCTGGAAGACCTTCCTTAACTTCCTTGGTTGAAATAGCACTCCCCTGCCACCACCTGCGATGTACCCTCTATTCCGTTGCTGGTTTAATTATTATATAATTTATCTGTTCATATGTATTGCTTGTCTCTACTCCCCATGCAAAGGCTCCATGGGGTCAGGAACATCCCTGTATTCTCAGCACCTAGAACAGCTTATTTTTATTAAACAAGCACACAAACCATGTTTACAGTATGTTGGGCACTCTGCCAAATGCTTTACAAATATCACCTCACTTACCCTTCATGAATAAGATATTTTACAGGCAAAGAAACCAAGGCACAGAGAGTGTAAGTAACTTGTCCAGAGTCGCACAGCTTGTAAGTTCTGGAGTCAGGATTCGAACTTGGGCAGTCCACCCAGAGTCAGTGGCTTAAACGCTCTGCTTGACACAGAGAAGTCTTAAGTAAATGTCTACTGGATGAATGAATGTCCCTTGAAGAGTGAGCACTTACCCCTCACAGGTAACCTTCGAGATAGGAGGGAAAAGGACCCAGGAAGTTTCTCCTATGTCTGTGCCTCACTGCTGAGTCACCCCAACACTCCCACTGAGGTTTGGGGAATGAGTGGAGAAAAGAGCAGTGCTGTGGTGGGTTCTAGAACAGCTCCAAGCCCCCAGGTAAGGGCTGTCTCTTTCCAGGTGCCCAGCCTCCCTCTATTCCTATGCCCTTCTCACTAGGTCTCTCCCCACCTCTGCCCTGAGCTTCTGGAGCTGCCCTGGCACCCAGGCACCCTGGCCTGGGGCCACCTTCCTCTAGCTGGCACTGCCGGGAGGGGGATGGATGGTCTTTTTCTCTGTGTACTGACACTTTCTGGCATGTTTTACCTAATACTACCCTTTTGTTGCATTGGTAAACAATCCAGAAAGCAGAAATAACGTGGGTGGATGGAGAAATTAATTTTTAAAGTTTTAAAAAGGAAACAAAGCAGTAAGAGTGAGACATAATCAGAAACGAAAACAGGAATAATGTCTGGGAAGAAATCAGAGGTGGGAAAAGCTGTAAATGAGCGAGAAAGAAACCCAGAGAGAAGAAACTAAAGCTTCCACACCAAGCAGGCTGGAGCTCCGGCCTGGAAGAGAAACTGCTCCCGAGGGCCTGGCCGGCCGCCTCCATGGCCCTTCTGGCTGAAGGCCTCACAGTCAACGCCGGTTTATGATTCACAGGTCGGTGATGATCTTTTATTCTCAGGTTTAAAAAAAAACATAATAACTCAGGTTCCTTTGGCAACTTCCTTTTCCTTGGCGGTTCCCTCAGCCTCTAGGATGCTGTAAACAGACTTTATGGCTGCACCTGGGTTTCTTGTAACGTCTTAGGAGCTTTTGTTTCCTGTTGGTTGCTAGGTAGGATTGAAGGTGAGCTCGCGGGTCATGAGCGGGCCTCTGTCTGCAGAGGCGTCAGATGTAGCTGATTCGATACTAATGGAGGCACTTGAAGATAAATGATTCCATTTGCCTGGTCCACGGGAAAACTTGCTACAGAAATCGTTGCCGCTTGTTCTAGGTACAGAAAAAGATGCCCACATCTCGTAATGAGCACTTTCCACAAGCAATCAGTGTCCAGGAAATAGAGTTCTGATTCAGGAGACTTCCCTAGAGTTATATAATTAGAGTTCTCTGCCAACTCTTTTAAAATTGTATCTGTCAAATATGTAACGCTTTACTATTTATAAAACAGTTTCATAAACATGATTTCACCTGGCTTTCATACCAGTCTTCAAGGGTGAGACTCAGTGGCGAAGCTTCCCTAATGTGGTCCCAGCCCCCTCTGTATGAGGGAACCAGGGTTGCTGCGATGGGTTGGTCCGCGTGCAGGGCCTGCTCAGAGCCCGTTTGCCAGGGGAAGGTCAGAGTCATCCAAGGGCCCACATCCAGGCCTGAGTGCTCAGGCCTGGCCGACCCTCCCAGTGAGTCTCCTGCTCCTATGCTGATGTCCGGGCCAGCCGCCTCCTCTCCACAGTCTTCTCTCCCGAGGCAGCCAGGTCCTCTGTCCAGGCCTGCGGGGTCTGAGGCACTGGGGGCTCTGTCTTGCTCTCCGCCTCTCTCTGATTGCATCCTCAGGTGCTAGTGGATATGAACAACTGGCCTTTTGTCCCAAATCCCTGGACCTTAACAAAGAGGGGGCTGGGATTTGGGACCAAAGTGAATAGACACTTTCCTGCTTAGGGACCACATCAGGGACAGGGAAATTAACAAGGCCAGATGAGGACATTGCTAGATTTCCTAAGGTGTCAGTCCGGAAAGGTTATGTTAGCCAACCTCAGAAATCTCAGTGGCAAGGAAAAAGAGGAAGAGAAGCAGGAAAGGAGGGAGGGAGAAAAGGAGAGACAGAGAAGAGAGGCTGTTCCTCATGGCCTTTGTTGTTGGCTACAAGTCAGCTGGGGTTTCCTTCCTTTTGTCTTCATTTTAGGAACAAGACTAAAGGAGCTGCCTCTATCTGAAACATTCTGCATTCACAGCAGAGGAGAGAGGTAATGGCAGGACAAGACAATTGCTCTTAAAAGTTCTGCTCCAACACAGCATGTCCCCTCCACCCATATTCCACTGCCAAGCCTGATGACAGTGGGCTGGTAAGTACAATCCGCCGCTTGGGACAGCCAGCCCAGGGTAGGAGCAGCTGATATTGTGACAATCAAACAAACTGCCACACCTGGTCACAATACAGACTGGCACCAGTGCCTCTCTGTCACTGCTGTGTGCTTCCAGGCTGTCACTAAGCAGCTCTCCAACTCTGAGTTGGAGCTTAAGACTGCGGTCAAGTATGAATCCCATATTACAAACAAGGAAACTATGGTTTTCTGAGGGCAAGTTTGGCAAAAGCAGACCAGATGCTCCTTCATCCCGCCCTTTCTTCATGGAGACATGGGAAGATGATATTTCCCTGACTCCCTGGCAGGGGACTAGATCACAGGACTGGGTCTGGGCCATGGAATATGCGCCAGAGTCACACATGCCACTTCCATGCCTGACCACAAGCCCATTCAGCATTCCACTCTCTGTTCCCTCCCACATTCACTGTGAAGGCCCTGTTTCAAGATGGCAGTGTCTAGAAGTAGAAGAAGCATCTAGAAGTAGAAGCATCTAGAAGTAGAAGAAGCAGAGGTTCCCGAATCAGCACTCAGCTTGCTGCCTGGGAGCACCCCCAGATCTGCATCACGCTGGGAGCCCGACACACTCTCATGACAGGGAAAGTCAGGCCACATGGCTGGGAGGTGAGCCCCGATGCTTTAGTTTGGGTTCCCCCAAAAGCAGAGCCTGTGACAAGGATGGGGTACAGGTAGTTGTGTGGGAGGTGATCCCCGGGAAAAAGGATGAGGGAACAAAGAGAATGCAATAGGTGCTATGGGTTCAGGCATGTCTGTGCAGAAAAGATGTGAAATCCTGACCCTGAGTAGCTCAGAATAGGACTTTATTTGGAAAAAAGCGTCACTACAGATATAATTCCTTAAAATGAGCTATTAATCCAATATGACTGGTGTCCTCATATGAAGACAGCCACGTGAAGACAGAGACACATGGGGAGAAGGCCACGGGGTGACAGCAGAGACTGGCATGGTGTAGCTCAACCCAAGGAATGCCAGCAGCACTAGCAGCTACATGGAGGAGAGGGCAGACTCCCCTCCAGGTTTCAGAGGCATGTGGTCCTGCCCACACCTTGACCTGGGATTTCTGGCCTCCAGACTCTGAGACAACGCACGTCCCTTGTTTTAAACCACCCGGTTTGTGGAACTTTGTTATGGCTGCCACAGTTGTAAATGAATCACAGGGAACATTTTGAAATGTTTCAGTTTAAAGAAAATGAACCGTTTCTGTTTTCCAAGTCTTTGGGGATCCCATGGAATCCCATCAAAGCATGAAGTGTGCAGTCCAGTGCAAAGGCACGCTAGCCCATCGTGAGGAAAATGGAAGCTCCCATGGCCAGGATCCTCACCTCAACCTAGACTGCTTGATGATGTAACTGGCCTGCTGCTAGGCTACTGCTTCCACACCCACAGGCAATAAACTTATTATTGACTGAGTCACTACATAAAGAGTTCTTCCCAGTGCTCTTTCACCCCAAGAACATTCCATTGTCATTCCTGGGTCTCACTGAATCCATAGTGAACTTGCCAGGGGCTGAAACCCATTGGCAAGACACCCATAAATTGAGAGGAGCAGAGTTCCTACAAGGTTCCAGAAGGACCCACTTGGTGCACCCCCAGTGTCCCTCCTGTGCAGCCTCTCGGGGCTCCTTGCCCAGCCTCGGCAAGCAGCAGTCACTTATTACCTGCACTGGCTCCTTTTTAAGGCCAAACTGCACCTCGTCCCACTTAGCAGGCATGGTTTCTGTGGTGGCCAATTTCATGCCACTTCTGGATCACCTATCACTTCTGTTTATCTGGAGAACCCTGACTAATATAGTTTCCTTTTTGTGCCTAAAAAGTCCTCCTTTTTAAGAGATTTTTTTTTCTCCTCCTCCTCAGCCTGTCATCAGAATTCTGTAAGTATTACAAGGTAGGAAGCAATTAATTCACCAGCAAGAAACAGGGAATTCCTACTTAGAGATTAGACTTTTGCCCTTTTTTTTCACTAGAAGCTTCTATGGAGGGAAGCATTTGAGCTTCATTTGAATAAGAATGACAGCAATTTTCCAAATTCACGATTCGCTCTGTGAAAAGGTCTGACAGGCGTCCCATGGCTAAAAAAATGAAAGTTCTTACCTACAAACGAAGTCTGCCCTGTGTAAACTACATGCTAATGAGAACGTCCAGTCCTCGCGGATATCTACATGAAAGTAGAGCAAAGCTCAACTTCCCTCACGAGAGCCCGAAAGACAGCTTTCTCGTTGAGTGCGCTGCTCAGGCCCGCCGTGAATGAGTCACTCTGTCAGGAAACACACTTGTCCTCGGCTTCTGACAGGTGGAGCCTTCCCCTCACTCCGGCTCAGGGTCTCTGTCCCCTCCTGCCGCCTTCAGCAGGTCACGGACTGTGGGGGGCGCCCCACCATTCTCCAACTCCTTGCTTTCCAATGCCGCATTGGTACTAAGAATAAGCCAAGCTCTTCCCAGGAAGATGTCGGTGTAAAACACAGCTGCAAACAAGAAGGATCAGAATGTCACCAGACCCTGACAGTGCCAGCTCACTACCCTTGGGACTCCAGGAAACCAGCCTTCATGGAACCATGCCACAGGCAGGTGGGCCAATACCCTTCTCCTCAAGGTGTCCCCACCTCCGCTGGCCCACACAGGCCTGTGTGGCTCCCTGAGCCTGGGCCACCTAGACCCCAGGAGTTCAAGGGCCAGGCCTGGGTCTCTGTAGGCTTATGGTTCCGAATGTCACTGCAAAGAGGGAAATGTACCGACAAGTGGGGGCCATGCTGGAGGCTTTTTCTCCCCCAACAGTTGGGACCTCAGGTATGGCCCCAGGAAGGAGCAGCCTCTAGGCTTTTACCAACAAAGCTTGTTTCTCAGGGGTTGTGAGGTGCAGGGAAGGGTGGGTCAGTAGGCTGCACCCAAGGGGGCCTTCGCAGGGGAGGTCACCTGCTGAGTTAGGAGGGCAGGGCTCGGGAGAGGGCTGAGTGCCTCACATCTGCACAACCCCATGTAAGACCCCACCCCTTCTGTCTGTCTGTAACCCCTGCTTTCCCCTCCCCTAGATAACCATTCTGATGAATTCCATGTGTATACTTGTATTCAAATGTGTCTGAAACCCCTGTGTTACTGTTTGGCATGCTGTTTAATGTATACAGATAGCAATGGGCTGTGGGCCTCCTGGTGTCTCTTCCAGTTTTGGGGGAGTCGATGAAACAGGGACTGTGAGTAAGGCCTGGGGTGATGCAGTGAGGAGACGGCAGGAGCTCGGGAGAGGCCTCTCCAGAGGACAGCAGGCTCCTGGGTGGGACACAGGCAGGGGTGGCTGGGTCGGAGTGTTGGAAAAGGTCACCAGAGGTGAGGGTATGAAGGCAGTGAGACACCGGGGGTAGGTTGGCAGTCTGCATGGGTCTTCAGGAATAAGGCAGGAGGAGTGTGGAGGATGCTGTCAGCTAGGAGCGGAGTCTAGGTGGATAACCTGGAGATGAGCAGAGGGCAGCCCCCGACAGGGACAGCAGGTGAGAGGGCTGCTTTGAAGGAGGAGGGGGAGAAATGTCTTGGTATTGGCCACAGCAAGCATGGGAGAGACTGACCCCACTTCAGATTCTGTGGTGTGTGGGGTGTAAATGAAGAACAGCCCCCATGGAAGAGGGCACCCACCACGCCAGCTGGTGAGTCAGGTAAGAGTAAGGAGGGCCGCGGATAAAGTGAAGGTTCCTGTGGCCAGGATTCTCACCTGGCCCTGGTCGGCTGGCTCATTACACACGCGTGGGCAATACGTTGTTATTGACTCTTTATAAGAGCTCCGCCCAGTGCTCTAGGCACCATGGTGGCACAGCTGCGAGGCTGCAGGAGAGCAGAGCTGAGGCAGGAGTGGTGGCAGCACCAAGGACAGAAACTGAGACGGCTGCAGGGGCAGAGAGGCCCAGAGGCAGAGACCAGTTTGCTGCATGCAGACTCGCTCTGAGTGGACGGGATTTTAGTGATTGACCTGCCATCATGGGAATAAAGTTGGGTATAATCCTTTCACCCCAAGAATGTTCTACTATCATTTCTTTGGTCACACTGAATCCATAGTGAACTTGCCCAGGGCTGACACCCATTGACAAAATAAGGGCCTTCCCAGAAGATGCTGAGGCTGCAGTGTGTTTGGTGGTTACAGTCCAGGGTGTCAGTCCAGTGCGAGAAGGTAAGGATGGGGGTAGGGAGGTGCATGGAGTCAGCTTAGAGAGCATGCAAGGTCGGGAAGGAGGGCCCATGGCACGGGGGCTTGGTCCTTCTGGGGTGACCAGATTCACAAGGGAAGCCAAGCATGAAGAGAATTGCCCCAGGTGCCCTGCTGAGGGACACAGGTGATCATTGCAAGCTTTCAATAGTGTAACAGCTTGAGGCAACTGCTGGGGTGACAGCCCCTCTTGGTGGCTGGGGCAAATAGAAGTTCTTGCAGTGGGAGAATAGGGGGCAGCCAGTCCACCAAATGCCTGCACCTGAGGGGTTGCGGCAGTCCTGATGACAAAGCCGAGGTGCACACTCATGCCTTTCCAGTATTGTTACCTGCAGGAGGATTCCAGCCCAACATATTCATTTTCAGAAATAAAAAAACAACAATCTGGTGTGTCATTCTCCCCAATGAATCTGTCCATGAACAGCTTAAGAACTGAGAAAGAAATGCATTTAGGTTATTAAAGAAGTGTAATAGGTTACCATTGAGAAAGAAATGTATTTCCTCCAACGGTAGGATTTTTAATTTTAGGAAAGATTCTGATTGAATAGATGTGAGTGTAACGTGCCAACATCAGAATTTCTCTCCAATAATTTATTATAAATATTTTCAAACTTAATGAAAAATTCAAAGAATTTTATAGTGAATTCCCACATACCCACCACCTGGACTCCCCAATTAACATTTTATTATACTCATTTCATCATACATCTACCCAACTGTCCATCCCTCTATCCATCCAACAAGCCATCTTATTTTTTGATGCATTTCAAAATGAGTTTTAAAGTCAGTTCATTTCAGCCTTAAACACTATGGCACAAATATTAACAAGAGTCCAAGATCTGTTTTCCCTTTGGAGGTAAAATGTGCATACAATAAAATGCACAAATCTGAAGTGTACTCTTCCATAGATTTTAAAAAATGCATATGCCTATGCAACCTGTATTCCCATTGAGAATTTATAAAGTAGCATCAGAATTTGAAAAGCTGCCCAGGTGGTTCTAGTGTTCCAGCAGGGCTGGGAACCTCTGTGCAGGTGCAGACCTGTCCTCACATTACGAAGGAGGAAACTAAGGCTCAGAGCCATTTGGTGCTAGGTCACATCTAGCTACAGATCTGAACTAGAACTCAGGTCTCCTTGCTTCAAGCCCCCAGTTTACTGTACATAAATGGGGCTTCTAGAATAGTGGTTCTCAAATTTCAACATCCATCAGAATCCCCTGGAGGGCTGGGTAGAGCCCACGGATCTGGGGTGGGGCCTGAGAATCTGCATGTCTATCAGGTTACCAGGTGATGCAGTGCTGCCAGTCCTAGGTCTGCAGCTGAGAACCCCTGGGTCAAATGCCAGGTATAAGATGTACTGTCGGACACCAACCATGCCATTCCTGCAGCTGGCCACAGTGGGTGTGCATCACAGCGAACAAGAACCGAAAGAGAACAAGATGCAGCCGGTGAGCACATTCTAGCGCTGTGTCCTTGGTCCCAGGCTGGCTTTCTTAAGAGCTTTCTCAAGGTCCCCATTCAGCAGTCACTCTACAGGACTACTTCGTTTGTGTGTTTTAGTGAAAGTGTCCCCACTCCACTTCATCTTCTCTCTAACGTGGGGAGTCCTCCTCTCTCAGCTGAATCATTGACATGTTATTTCATCCCATGCCAGGGGCCCTCCTCCCATCAGCCTAGTTTACCTAGTTCTTTTCATGGCCCCACCACTGCTTCCAGAGGCTGGGAACAGCCATGTACAGAGCTCCCCTCCAGGACAGAACCCTCCCTTCTGCTGTCCAGACAGCATGGGTGAAAGAGGTGCTTTTCAGTATCTTTTTTACCTATAAAGGAGGTGCTTTTATGGAACACACTGTACTGTTTTTTAATTTTAATACTTACAGATTTTAGTGCACATTAAGAAAATAGATAATCCATGAATTCATACCTACAATACATTATTTGAACTGTTTCCTCTTTAATAAATTTAAGTTTAAAAAATGAATTAAAGAACAAGTAATTGGGGCGGAGCCAAGATGGCGGCGTGAGTAGAGCAGCGGAAATCTCCTCCCAAAAACCACATATATTTTTGAAAATACAACAAATACAGCTCTCCCTAAAAGAATAAATAATTGACAGACTAATAAAACAGGTACTTACAGAAATTGACAAACTGATGGCAGAAAGAGGCTGACAGGTCTAAGAAACTCTGCTTTGGTAGTTTCCAGGATAACATGGGCTACAGAGTCTTACAGAGCAGCATGTCCTGTTAGGAAAACTCACATTCTTTTTCCTGTAGCCTTCAGATCATACTAAAACACAAACACAGTTCTAGTTATTTTCCACTGGTATTTTGTGACTTACTTTGCATATTCTTGTTATCTTATAACTTATTTTCTTTAAAATATGTGAATTTAATTATTTGCTGCAATTTTATAGTGTGATTTTTTATAACATTTGAGGGCCCAAATTCTTTTTCCTTGAGGAACACATTTTCAATTTTATAATGGAAGTCAGCTGGAATATAAGACTCTGCATATAGAAAATTACTTTAGAGACAACTTTTCAGTATCTTTTTGACTTATCAAGGAGGTGCATTGTTATTAAAAAGCAACTTTATTTAATTAGGTTTATTTATTTTACATGCCACTTCATTCCATACAGATTTGAGAATCCTAGCAAGAACACATATGGTAAAATGGAAAAAATTTTAAACCAGGAATGGAAATTAAAAGTAGGAAATCAAGATGAGGGAAGGTAAAGGCACAGATATGGGGGCCTCTATAGACCCCAGGGTTTAATGTCTTATAGTTGACCTTCAAATTTGGCTCTGAGGTCCCCGGCAGCTGAAGAGAAAGAGATAATCTTTTCATTATTTTTATTTTTGAGAAAGAAGTGCATGATAGAGAGCTTTTCCCAGGACTTAGAGGAAACTTATTAGGAAAGAAGGAGCATTGTGTGATGTCATGGATAGTGTCCTTGACATCCTACAGCAGAGAGAACAGAATAACCTCCTGAGACCATCTAAGGTAAGCTAACCACATCATTTTCCCTAATTCTCATCTAACGTCCTTGAAATCAGCCCTGTGTATAACACTGCACATAAAGGTTCCCTTTATAACCAACCAAAGCAGTTTAAGATGTTAAACTGTTGATACTGTCTGCTGTTCCCCAATTTGTGTTCTCCTAACTCCAGCCTTGTATGTCCAATGCCTCCCACACATTTTTGCCTGGGGATCTAATGGACATTTTAAACCTAACATGGCCAAAACTCCTGCTCTGTCCCCAAATCCTGCTTCATCTGCAACCTTCCCTGCCCTTAGTTGCTGGCAGTTCCATCCCCCTATTTGCTGAGGACAAAAGCCTCGACTCCCTCCCATCCCCCGTTCAGTCTATCAGGACCTCTCAGTGTTCCATCTTCCCATTATGCCCAGGATCTGACCATCTCCACGTCTGCTCTCACCACCCAGGTGAGCCACCAACAGCTGTCACCTGAAATACTCAGCAGCCTCAAAATAGGCCTCCCTCTTCCTTCCTGCTGCTACCCCCACTCTCTGTCTAGGCTCAGCCCAGATGCCAGGCGGAGCCTTTGAAAATGTGAATCGCATCCTGTTGTGTTTGGGCTCACATCCCTCCCTGTTTCACTCAGAGAACATGCAAAGTCCTTACATGGCCACAAGGCTCTACACGGTGAGGTCCTGCTACTCCTCTGACCTCACTCTGAGCGTTGCCTCGGTCACATCCTCTCCCCTTTGCTGCTCCTCGAGCCCATCAGACATGCCTCCAGCCTTTGTCCTGGCTGTTCCCCCTACCTGGGATGCTCCTTTCTGCAGACTTCTGCACAGTTTACCTCCTTTTCAAAGATCACTTTCTCAGGGAAGCCTACTTTGATTGCCGTAGTTTAAAGTTCCATCTTCCTTCCCCATATCCAATACCATTTACCGTGCTCAATTTTTTCCTTTCCCCATGGCTCTAATCTCCTGGCAATCAATATAACTATGGTATATTGTTATGTTATATACAATTTATTATTATATTAGAATAGGCCAACTTATGCTGCAGTAACAAACATCCCCAAAAGCTCAGTGACAAAAAAAAACAAGCGTTGATTTCTCATTCATCCTACGTGTCTCAGGGAATTAGGCTGAGTGCACAGTCTTCACCAGAAATGTTTCTGATTTCCTTATCAGGGGACAGAGGGAACTCTCTAGAGGGTTTCACACCAGCCTAATTTAATTATGCTCTGGCCTGGAAGTAACACATCACCTTTCACATCTACTGGTCAGAACTGGCCACACAGTTTCACCCAAACACAAGAAGACCAGGGAGTGAAGTCCTACCATGTACCCCAAAGGGGAAGTTCGGGAACCGCTTACAGAACAGCATGAACGGCTACTACAATTTTGCCCATTTTTATCATTTGCCTCCCCATCTAGAACGTAAGCTTCACAAAGACAAGTATATCCAGCACCTGGAACAGTGACTTGCACATAGTAGGCACTCAATAAATACTCCTTGAATGATGGATGAGTTACATGGCTAGATTCACATCTGGTACAGAAAGTTAGGAGTTAACAGTAAACCCCAAATCAAACACATATACTAAAAATATGCAGGAAAGAGTTCCTTAATTTATTCCTGTGTTGCTCTGCAAGCCCATGAAATTATTTTCAAACTTTTTCCAAAAGGGGCCCCTATCTTCTGATCCAGGAAGAGGGGAGTTTGGTGCCATCAGGTATAATGCCAGAACCCACAACCAATATTAATCAGGGGCTAAAGTAGAGCAGGTGCATCCCTCTGTACCTCAGTCTCCTCACCTACACAGTGGGGCTGCAGTGGGGTCAACTGAACAGGTGCTCTCCACACTGGCAAGCAAATCACAAAAGCTGGGCACACCAAGTGGAAGTGAATCATACTCACCTGTGCAGCCAGAGCACCATCTAGTGGGCATGGCAGGCAGTCAGGGCAGCTGCACACATAACCCTCATGGGTCCCAGGCAGCAGCTGGCACTCAGGAAGGCTAAAGGGGCTCCAAGTTTATGCAAACTATAGAGCATGACAGGCATCTGGCCACCCCTGCCAGGATAGGGTGGAACTGCAGGCCTGGCTGCCTGGAGCAATCATCTATATCTATCCATGCCTCTCTAATTCAGGGACAGCAACTAGAGGTCAATCAGGAGGAACAAAACTGGCAAGTGAGGTGAGGGAGGCCACTGACTCAGCACAAAACTCCAGGGAGCACCAAACAGCTCAGCAGGCAAGTTATGTCAGAGCGACCTTTAAGAAAATCAAAATTAATGCAGTAAAAGATCCATGATCAACAAAATAGCAAATGCTGACATAAAGACAAGATCAGTTTTCCTGATGTCTCATCTGCCTCAGGCTCCAGTGGGGTTCACTGGGCATGTCACAGCTCCCGTGTCTCTCCACCCTGGGCCTGGGAGAGCCCTGGGGGACCGAAGGGATCCCTACCACAGCAACAGGCAGCCAGGCTGGGCCAGAGCCTGGGGCCCAGCAGCACAAACCATAGCCAAGAATTCCATGATCCTGAAGAAAATGCTGACCACCCTGTCCCAGTTGGGGCTCCTGGTTTACACAGGGAAGGGGATGGGTTCAGGAGAGATTTTCAGACAGATGTATCATCGCAGCAAGTTAACACCAATGGGTTTTGTGTCCTTCACCCACCCTGCAGAGGCCCAGCCCTGGGTGGTGGCATTTATCTCCAAGGCAAACAGAGCTGCCTCTTATCTGGCTGTGTCTACAGATGATGTCACATCCGTCTGTACTTCCTGATCAATGTGACTCAAGGGTGAGCTCCTGGTCAAGGTGAGTCATGACTTGACCCACCCAGACAGGCAAGAATCCGGTTCCCAGAAGTGACCCAGTCATGGGAGAACTAAGCTGGAGTGAAGCTCTACAGATAAGACATAGCTGCTGGCACAAGGAATATCCAGGAAGGGTCATCTCAGAGCCCCCGAGCCTCACTCTGCATCTTGTGGCAGCTGATGTCAATGCCATGTATGCAGAACTCAGTTTCTCCTTCCCATTTCTCAAATGAGAATGGAATTTACAGAGTGGGGAAGTGTCTTGCCCAAAGGCACACAGCAAGCAAGTGACAGGAGGGTTTGCTTACTGTCTAGTAGCAAAGGCAGTAAAATCAGGCCAGGAGCAACGATTTCAAAAGGCCAAGAGGGAAGAGGGGCTGCCATGGAAAGGCAAGCAAAACCAGGTTGGAAAGGTAACTGAGATCTCTTAATCGTGGGCCTAAATTCTAGCAGCATGTCCCGGTTTCCTCCAAAGCAGTGTTCTCCAGATGGTGGCCTGGGAGCCACCGGTGGCCTAGGAACAGTTTCTTTCAGCCTGGTCACCTGGCACATCCGTGGTTAGCCACCTTTTCTACCATCCTGACTGCTAAAAGATCAGTGATTCAGATTCAGAAGTGTTCACTCCACAGCAGTAATAGTAATAATAATAAAACCTGAAGTGCATCTGTACAGTAGTTGCACAACTTGTGAGGGGTGTGGAAATTCCACCTGACTTTACCAACCAGGTGTGGAGGCTGACAGGAGGCAGGAAATCAGCAGGCCAGCAGAAGTTAGCAGTGAGCTGCAATCTCTGTTGACAGTGAAGGGGAGTGATCAGGAGATCAAAGGCAGCCTGGAGGGAGAGGAGGGGGAGAGAAGGGAGCAGGCTGCAGCTTTGGAATGTGGGCCCACGACCTCCCCTCAGCAGCTCCAGGCCTTCTCTTGACCAGCTGGCCTGCCAGCTGCTACTTGCTCCTGTGCACTCCGAGGTGGAGCCTGGCCCCATAGCTACATCTCTGGAGAGGTGCCTCAAGGGAAAGCATAGCCCCTCCCCACCCTCAGGGTCACCTAGAGAACTGTCCACCCCCACTCCTGTTGACCAGGGCACGGAATGCCCAGGGACGTGATGTGACTTGCTCATGGTTACTAAGACAGAAAGGGAATTCTCTGGACCAACAGTCCAATGCCCTTCCTGCCATATCTGCACACTGTCATCAACCCCTATCCCTTTTCAATGGCAGCAGGAGATACCAGCTCACAGCGGGGACAGGTCCCAGAAGCCTAGGGTGGAAACACTACAAGGCACAAACGCTATTCCTTTTCCCCAGTACCTTTTGCTATTCCTTTTCCCCTGTACCTAATGCAGGAAGAATCCATTGAATCTATACGCTCAAGAGTCTACTCAAGAGCTCAACCACTGATTCAATCAGAATGCGAGGAAATGCAGACACCCAAATGTTTTGTCTGCTTAATATTAAAGATATTCTCCATTGGCAGTCTGTGAGTCT